CAGCCCCCGCGGGGTCCCCCCGCCGCTGAGGCGGGTGTGGGTTGTGACCGCTCCCCCGCCTCAAGTTTCTCTCCTGACGGCCACCAGGGGCGGTGGACAGTGCCCACCCTCACTGCGTGTGGACCAGCAGCGCTGGCTTTGAGCAAGAACTTGTCTCAAACTTAAAAAAAAGGGGCTAGAGATAGATCTCAGTGCTGCCTGGACCCTATCCCCCATGACACACGTATGTGCACGTGCACACAAGTGCTGGCGGTCGAAGATTCACGCTTACGTCACTGTCCTCTCAGGACTTTGCAGTCACTGATCACGTCTGTCTTTGGGCAGAGCAGCACCAGTCCTTTGAGCTCAGCTGTAAGGCCTGCGTGGCTCAGATGCAGTCTCTGCTGTTGGCACTGCTGGTGTCCACACAGGTTCTGGAGAGTCCCACCAAGTACAGCGCTGCCTGGGGTCTTACACTCACAGTGGAGACACCTGCTCCAGGTGGCCAGGCTCTGCCCTTCCCCACCGTCCCGGGTCTGCCCGCCTGTCTGCCCTTGCCTGGTGGGGGAGGCCATGGGCTAAGGACTAGACCTCCTGCCCAGGTGTGACGGAGGAGGGGCAGTGGCCTAGCTACTTTTTCAACGCCCATCGCTCTAAGGAGGCGAGGTTTATTTAGCTCACAGTCTGTAGTGGTTTCAGTCCCTAGTTCCTGGCTCCAAAGCAGGGGGCGCGGCAGAGGGCATGGCCGAGGACAAAGAGCTCAGGGCCTGGGTTTGGAAGCAGAGCAGGGCTCAAGGGAACGTGGGAAGGCCACGCCCTGGTAACCGCCTCCTCCTACCGGATCCTGCTCTTACCTGCAAGCCAGCTGTAACACCCCGCCTGTGAGTGTATGAGCTTTGGGGGACATTTTAGATGCCAACCCTAAGAGGCAGCGAGGAAGCGCAGGTGTGAAGGATTTGGGGAGTGTAACATATAAGCATTTTAATTTTTATTAGTGCACGTGGCGGTGCATGCGATATTCCCCACGGAGAGTCGGTGCACGTGCATAACGCAGCTTAATTCTTTCTCCTTCCCGTCCGCTCCCTCCCTTCTCTCCTTCCTCCGTCCCTCGGTCTCGCTCCCGTTTCCTGTCATTTTACCTTTTATTTTGCTCTATAATTTATTTGTACTCTGGGTTTCTCATCTGAGAGAACCACGCGATATTCACACTTGTGCGTCTGACTTATTTCACTTGGCATTGTGGTCTCAAGGTGCCTCCATTTCTCTGCACCTGACTGTTCGCTGGAGGCTCACTGTGCATGCAGCCTCCCTGCCCCTGAGCCTCGCAGCTAGGCTCCCGGCAGGGACTGGTCTGCTGCAGGCAAAAGCGCTGCAGCCCTGCTCCTTCTCAAAGGAGGAAGTCAGCACTTCCGAGGTCAAGGGAGGGGCCTGGGGGCCGCTGCTCTGCCCCTCCCTGGCCTGGAGGGGCCAGGCGGCCAAGGCCCATTTGCCTGTGTGGGCCGGGCGGAGGGGACACTGATCCCTCGGACATGTGGGGCAGGGGTACGGGTGTGGCTCCAACACTGACGGTTCCCAGGGCGGTGGGGTGGATTTGGGAAGAGATGGAATTCTCAGTCATGGTAGCTGGCGGGTGTCACTGCACTGCTCGGCCCCCAGCGTCGCCCTCCTCACAAGTGTGAGTGTGAGTGTGAGTGAGTGTATTAATAGTGTCTCCACTTTCCTCCATGCATGATAGATTATGTGAGGTGCTCAACCTTGATCCCAGGCAAGTCCTGATTGCGGAAGTGATCTTCACGAACATCGGAGGAGCCGCCACTGCTATCGGGGACCCGCCAAACGTCGTCATCGTTTCCAACCAGGAGCTGAGGAAGATGGTACGTGCGGGGCGAGGGTGTCTCCTGCACCAGCGCTCAGCTACTTGGCCTCTACCAGGGTGCCAGTGACCTGTGTCACCCGCATTAGATGCCCTGGCTCCCAGGGCTCACAGCAGGCGCTGTTCCCGCCTCAGCCACCGCGGGTGTGGGCCGGGGCTCAGTTCTCCATCTCTGTTGCATGGACACCATCCTCAGGCTGACCACTGTAAAAGAAATGATTGGAAAGTGCGACCTGTTCAGTCATTGTATTAACTACACCATGGGGGGGGTGTCTTGCAATATTAAGAACAAAATGACCTATTCTCTTTTACTGCAGATAGGGAATTTCCTTCTCAATTCGGGTAGAGGGATTTCATTAAATGAAGAACTTAAATTGTCGTAAGAATCAGAAAAGAATTAAAATCCCTTAAAAGCCCTTATAATTATTCAGAGGTAGTTTTTCATACAGTAAAATAAAAACAAAGTACTTAATTGTCTGTATTTTAAAGATTGCAGATGTATCTTTGTGTGTCTCAAAGAGTTAAAGTTAGATCTCTATCTTATTTTTTGTACTGGGGATCGAACTCAGGACCTTGCACTCACCAGGCAGACACTGTGTTGCTGAGCTACATCCCTGGCCCCAGATCTCTCTCATTTTTATTTATCATTCTTTGGTCATTAGAGTTTTCTAAATCTCCTTTTCGGGGAGTAGATTCAATTTATAGCAATTTTGAACTGAATTACAGTAAAAACAGAAGATACAGAATTTCAAGGATTCCTTCAAGCAAGAGCCAGCAGACAACTCCTAGAAGGGCCATGAGTCAGTGTAAGGCTGGCAGGCTGTGTGGCCGCCCATCACCTACTCAGCTCTGTCACTGGAGGGAAGCAGCCGCTGGCAGTGGATTCCAGCTTGAGAGTCCTAGCCCACTTGCCCCGGCTCCAAGGTGTATTTCATGGGTACTCAGTACCCTAAGCTCTTCCATTAGAAACGAAGGGTCTCCAACCCCTGACCTCAGGGCACTGAGTCTTCGAGCTCTTTTCCCATAGCGTTCTCCTCCATTCTCTGTTGGCTGCAGTTGGAACAGCACCCCTCTGTGGCTCTTGCTCTCTCCTGGCCCCTTGGCGTCCCTTGTGAGTTTTCACCTCTATGGATACCTCTCGGTATCTATGGCCTCGGGTGCTTTACTTCGTCTTCCCTCTTGGGCCCGCTGTGTTCCCTGTAGGAACCAGTCCTTCGTGGCTTGCAGAGTTTCTGCGTGCTGGGCTGTCCCACCTCAGTGTGCGCCACAGGCTCTTGTCTCCTTCAGGTTCACGTGCAGTAGGACCTGCGACACACATTGCAGTGTGAACCACACCTGCCTCTCCTGTCTGTCCCCACACCTGTGCCCTTTCCTCACTCAGTGTCCAGACTGAATTCTATTTGCAAATCACACTCTGTGTATTTTATCAAAACACTCAATAGATTCAGCTTAACTGTGCAAGCATTTCCTGAGTTTTTCAATGAGAAGAATTTAGGAAGCCACTTTGGCTTGCATCATCCTTAAAAGCTAGTGGACATCATCATTTGACATCACAGAGCTAGCCTGAAGGTGTAGTTCCCGGAAAACGACACAGTGGGCCAGGAATTCCTCAGCCACATCCTCGTAGTTTCATGCAGCTTACGGAGCCAGGATTTCCTGATTTTATTGGTTGCTGCTCATGCTTGAACAGTGAGCCACTTCACCTGTCAAATGAAGACCATGTGGAGAACTAAGAAGACAGCAGCAGAGTGGAGCCCACCAGAAGGCTCGGAAAGGGCAAGTTAGAAGCAGCCAAAACAGAGGGCTGCACATGGGCTGCGTGCTGACGTGTGACGGGTGGGTGACTTTGTTCCCGAGGCCATTAGGAAAGGCGTCTGGGAAGCCACAGAGGCCCACGAGGAGGAGGCCCACTCACACGCCCAGCAGGCTCCCTGGAAACGCTCTCTCCCACTGCGTGTTGCATCTGCTTGTGTTGTTTCTTTTTTTTTTTTTTAATTTTAAATTGAATTTATTGGTACATTCTAGGTAGACAGCACAGTTACATTCGTTACTGGGATCTTGTACCTTTACATGCTTGTGTTGTTTCTTGCGGTGAGCGGTTTGGACTTCTCCATGCTGCATTTCTCTTCCTTGATAAATTTGCCCTGCACAGCTTCCCCAGCAGCCAAGCACTTGGGCTCAGTGCGGCACCCAGGACCTCCTGAGACCTTTTCTTTCTCATTTACTCACTCATCATTTTCTCTTCGATTGCCTACCATTTCTAGTGGGCACAATTCTAAAGATATCACACTCCAGGCAGGCTCAAAACTCAGGATACAAATACTTCTACCTTCATGGGTCATTACCCTGAGAAATATTAACAGTTACGTTTCATGACCCAGTGGGTAAACAGACAGATAGTAACATACTTTTAACCTTAATCTCTGGCCCAAAAGTTCATTTTTTTTCTGACTTCAGAGGAAATTAAAACATTAATTCATGAGCACATGAAACAAACAGATATCTGGGTTATAAATTTTATAGATAAATACAAAGTTATATTTCATTGAAGAGCTCACTGAATTATATGAACTATCAGAAAAATACTGAATTCTTTTTCTTTCTTTTTTTCTCTCCTTCTCTCTCTCTTTTTCTTTCTTTCCCTTTCTCTCTCTTTCTCTTTCCCTCCCTCTCTCCCTTCCTTCTTTCCACAAGGTCTTGCTTTGTAGTTCAGGCTGTACCGAACTTATGGTGATCCTCCTGCCTCAGTCTCCTGAGTGCTGAGATTTCAGGTGCGCAGCACCACACCAGGCTGGAAAAATAGTGAATTCTTGTACAACCATTCAGAGCATTCTGAGAGTCTCATATTTATCTTTCCCTCTTATTGGTTATGCAGATAATTTTGAGATTGAGAATTTCAGATGATCATTCATTGGCAAGCCCAAAACTTTGACACAATTCCTAGTAGTGTTTTACCTTTAGCAGTGTTTTACCGTAAGTCCTTGACTTACAAAGGAGTTCCACTCCAGGAGAACATGTTTAGGTCAGATTTGTTTATGTTGGATAAAGTGAGTCTTACACACCTTTGACACAAATATACAATATAAAGTGTAAAAAACCAAATACGAGGTTCATTTGTATCTGTGAAAGTTCATAACTCAAATGTTCATAAGTTGGGGACTTACTGTAAGTGGTTTCAGATCATTTCTAGAAGCAAGAGGGGCAAATACGTTTTAACACTTTAATGAACAGCATTTAATATAATCTGTCACCCTTTCCAATCCAGGACTTTGGAGGGTGGTTTCCAGCTCTTGCCCTGGGGTCTCTCAGTGCCTCCGTCTGCCTGTGCGCACCTGTCTCTGCCGCACAGCATGGCTGTACTGCTCCTGTCCGTGTGACTGCACTGCTCACCGCTGTGCTCCTTCACGCCTGGGCCCCGTGATGGTCACGCTTTCCACTGTGGCTCTGGCCCTCTTTGTGGCACCGTGGTCCATGGACTCTCTGAGTCCTCATGGGTGACCGTGTCACAGGGTGAGGGTTGCATCTGTCTCGCTGGGCTGAGGTTTTGCTCACACACTCTTGCTGGAAGGTACAAGGGCACCAAATAAGTGAAAGAACAAAGCCAACGGAGGATGGTGCTGACTTATTCCCCAAGTGGCGTAGTGGGCATTTTACCCCGTGATGAGGACCTCTGCAGCGTCAGGCGTGGCAGACACTCCACAGGTAGCGGGGGAGCACAGAGAAGAGGGCACTCGTCTGGGGACCATGTGGGAGGAGCTGGTGCTCTCCCCGGAGATGCTGCTGATACCCAGTGGAGGGAAGGCTGCTTTACAGACACGAGGACAATCCTTCAGATCAGGGGAAGGACTTCAGTGAAATATTTACAGAACCCAGTTTAGCTTTAAATAGCCCAGGACTGTCAGACCTTCTGATGTGTTGTCTCCTGATCCTGGGGGACTCTATCACTGAGAGCCCATGGACCTTGCCACCCCAGGCCACCCTGCACGGCCAAGCCAGGCCACGTTCAGAGTCAGATATGATGGCTTGGTTTTGCTTCCTCCTAAGATGGCTTGGGATTGCCACTCATGTAAGAGTTGGTTTTCGGCATGAAATAAATAAACCTTAACTGTTGTGAAGTCATCTGAGGGGTCCTTGCTCTTCCTTGGACTCGGTGCTAGGCTCCAGGTCCTCTCCCTCAGGCCCCCGGTCCCCTTGTTCCCTGTCACCATCCTGGCGTCAACCCTCCGCTGCCACCAGTGCGGAGGAAAAGGCCCATCTGCCATTCATCTCCCTTTTCTCTTCCAGGGCCTGGACTTCGCCAGATTCACAGCACACATGTTTGTTGGTATTTGTCTTGTTCTCTTGGTCTCCTTTCCACTCCTCAGACTCCTTTACTGGAACAAAAAGCTTTATAACAAGGAGCCCAGTGAAATCGTTGGTGAGTATGGAGGTCTCCTGCAGCCTCAGGGCTCCTGACCGGCACATTGCTTTGCTCCCCCGGGGAAGTTCTGACACACAGGCAGGAGGAGTTGTCCCAGGCAGAACTCCAGGGAAGCATCTCCTGTTGGGATGCTGCCTGCGTGGGACCAGTGACCACACGTCCTGGGCTTCCTTCTCCTGAGCAGTGTCTCCCAATTAAGTTCCTGCAGCTCCACGTGCTTTATTCCACAGCTAGGAAAACAGGAGTGTGCTACCTAAGCACCAGAGACAGGCCGAGCCGCAGAGGGCCGCTTGTCCTTGAGTCGGTAGGTTGCAAAGTGGGTAGGCACTGGGCGTGCATGAAGGGGTTCAGGCTGCCACTGAGGACCCACCTGCATCAGAGAGCCCAGGGGTCTGGAAGGTGGCATAACAGGCAGCGTAACCAGCCCTGTCTCTGTTTCTCCAAACACAGAGATGGGGCTGGCACCTGAGCAGAGCCCATGGACATGTGTGCTCTATAAAGCTGACTGGTGGCTTCAGAAAGTGGCCCTCCACCATTATGCCCTTCAAGAGTGTCTGGGAAGCCTCTGATCCTCGTGGATGAGCTTTCAGTGACACCTTTGGTGCAGTGAGGCCAGAAGATTGGACTGAACACCGGCCTTGTCTAACTTACACCGAAGCCATCCCCCTTCCAGTCCCAGCGCGGCACTTTTGTGTTCAGATAGTCTGGCCGCTGGGTTTTCTTCTTCTCTCCTCCTTCTCTTTCTTCCCATTCTTTTGGTGATATCATAACATCACAAGCAGTTAAACGAAGCGTGAGACTTTTCAGAAGAAATCACAGACCCATTTCTCTGAAGAGGACTTTGATCCCCGTAAGCCACAGTGTGCTTTGTAAGGTGGAGGCTTTGGAGCAAGTCATGTGCTGGCGGAATCCTTCCTTGCTCCCGTCCTGTCCCGGGTCTCTTGCTGCACACCTTGGCGGTGGCACTTACAGTCTGTGTCTGTCTGGTGCATTTGTTGCCTTCTCGGCATCAAGGCAGTTCTGCCACACAGGAAGTGATTGGCCCTTGTGTGCAGAATAGAGGGGCAGAAAATGTGCTCTTTTCTTTTCTTTCTGTTTGTGCTGCTCACAGGTCTCTGAGGCATCACTGTGTCTTGCTTCTGCCCTGAGCTGGTTATTGCAGGCTTCAGCCTGCTCAGAAAGCATTGGTCTTCTAGTTTCATCTTCAGTTTTTGTGATACACAGTGTGACACCTTGCACATCATAGGTGTGTTTATAGCCTGGCTTTGAGATGTCTCCCAAAGGCCTGTGTGCTGAAGCCCCTAGCACTGTCTGTAGATGGTGCAGCCATTAGGTGGTGGGGCCTGGTGGGGGGCACTAGGGTACCGGGGGTGTGCCCTTGAAGGGGGACGTTGGGACTCTAGTCCCTTCTTCTCTCTCTTTGCCTCTTGGCACTGCAAGACCATAGGCCCAGAGGCAATAGGCCAACCACCATGGACTGAGACCTCCATAACTGTGAGCTCAACTTTTCCTCTTTGTAAGGTGTTTATCTCAGGCATTTTGTTACAGTGATGGAAAACTCACACAGAGTGGTTTGTGAAAATATTGTGCTTTCTTGCATTCTTCTAATGATTGCTTTGAGAAGTTTATGTAGTGTTGTAAACTATAAAATAGAGGTTAAATGTGAGCTTTCTTAAAAAATAAAATAGAGGTTAAATGTTTTAAACCTTAGGAGGTAATGAATCAACAAATCACCTCTGAGCTCTTCTCTATAGAAGGTGTCTGGATTCAGTAAGGGTTGGAAATTTGTTCTGATTTCAACAGGCTGTCTGTGTCTGTGTCACGACTTGTCTGTGACTTGTCACTTGACGCCTGTATCAAGCAGGGGCTTGACAGGGAGGTAGAGCTTCTCCCAGCTCCTGCTCTCACTGCATGCCTTATGGGAGGGCCCCTGGCTGAGAAGTGTGCTTGTGTTTGTGGTTTTCACATGATCTGTTTCTGAAATCATCCAAAGATCAGGCAGTTGGCTTAATTCACTTTCTGTTGCTAGAACTGAGTACTGCAGACTGGATGGGCTGAGAGGGTCAGGCGTGCACTTAATTCACTGTCTGAGAGAGAGTCCGGAGTCTGGGCACAAAGCACCAGAATCTGGTGAGGGCTTTTTTGCTGTATCACAACATAAAGGAGGCTGCCAGCGGGTGCGTGATTCAAAATTTTGGCTGAAAGCAGGGCCAGCGAGAAGGGGATGGGTATGTTGGGTGCTAGCTTCGATGTCTCTGTTCAAGGAAGGGATTATTTTTCACCCAAAGAGTCAAAGTTGCATTACTCTATTTCCATGTAAAATTTAAAATCTGGCTTGGCATCTGTTCCACTAGGGTGGCTCATACACTGAGAGAGGCCTTGCTTTGGGCCAGCCCAGGCTACCTGCACACGGTTGGCATGTGTCAGGTGGAGCGGAGTGTCACTGACAGCCAGGCCCGGGAGGCTCAGGTTTTGCTGTTTTTCTCTGCAGAGCTGAAGCATGAGATTCATGTGTGGCGACTGACGGCGCAGCGCATCAGCCCAGCCAGCCGTGAGGAGACGGCTGTGCGCAGCATGCTGCTGCGGAAGGTGCTGGCACTGGAGCACGTGCTGGCCCAGAGGCTGCGCACCTTGCAGAGGTACTGGGCTGGTCCCGTCAGGCCTACTGCTGAGTTTGTCTTCCCAGGCCGTGCATGGTGGGGGGCGTGAGGCATCATCCCACTGCCACACAATTAGTATTCAAAGGTCACACCAGATAAATCCAGTGGGTTACAGCGATGGCTTGTTCAAGCATCAATGGCAGCACACAATGGTACACCTGCAGCGTACAAAGGCGCCGTTTTACACGCCACTCACTGTGCTAAGCTCTGCAGTGCACTCTTCTGTGTAATGTCACTTGGTTCTGTGGGTTGTGTGCTGGTTCACAGAGAAGACGGGGGCTCAGAGACTTCGAGCAACTTCCTGGCAGCAGCCCAGAAAGACTGACACCGAGGAGGGGTCGAAGGTCTACTCTCAGCGTGGGGCCGTCCACGCCACCTCCTACTTCGTAGTTCTTGCACAACAGGAGCCAAAACCACTTATTGTGATGAATTCTCGAATAACATTCTCCCAGTAGCTGATTTCAGGTACTCTGAAGGGTACAGAAGTTTCAGGCAATTTATTTCTTCGCATTTGTTTTTAATCAAAGCCAAAAGCAACTTTGCATTGGTGAGGGTTTGCTCCTCTCTGCCCCAAGGTGCTGAGCACTCTGGAGCTCTGGTAGGAACCCCCGGGAGCACTGAGAGTCCCTGCCGCTGAGCTGGGAGTGGTGGAGGTGAGGAGTCCCTCAGGCCGAGGGACAGCAGTGAGTCTTGGGAGTGGCTTGGACAGTGGTCTTGTTGCTATAAATTGCTGAAACAAGCTGCCCCTGCCTGGTCGTCCTTCAGCTCTGTCTCCAGGGCTGGCCCTGGGAGGAGGAGGCCACAGGCCAGCTTGGGACCCAGTGCTGTGGGCTAGGGCAAGGCTCTGTCTTCATAGATCAGCTCCATCCTGGCCTGGAGCCATCTCAGCTCAGCACTGCTAGAGAAGTGGGACCTCTGTCCTCAGACCCAAGGACATCCTGACAACTACAGCACACACAGACCAGAAAGGAGACCCCTTTCAATAAATTACCCTGGCACGGGTAATAACCACACAGCCAGGGGAGCTCAGGTCAAGGGCTGGGCCTCAGAGATCCAGCGGCCCCTCCTGATGCCGGTGTTGATAGGAGATAGGGCTGGTTAGGTTCGGGGAGGGGTCTGGCTTCCTGAGGCCACTACGTATCACAGGGCAGAGGGAATGAGCCATCTGAGCCACTGCTCGCTCTGCAGGGTTTGTTTTTAATTTCTTTCAAGAAGTTTTCCTCAGGCTCATTTGACTAGGTCTGCTCTAATGTCCTTTAGGGCCCCACCGGCTGCATGGCCTCTCTCCTTTGGAGCACACTAAAAAGAGCTTCTCCCTTGTCCAGCATCTCTTCTGTAACTGGTCTGGGAGAAAATGAACCGGAAAAGCTGGGCTGAGTTGGAAAGGTTAGAAGGAAAAGCAGATGGGGTGGTGGTTCCCGAACAGAGAAGGCTTCTTCTACACAGAAGGAAGGACGCAGATGTAAACATTCTTCAGAATTGATCTTCACGTGAAAAATAAATATTGTCAGAGCATGGGGCATTTCTTTTACCACTTTTTTTTTAGGTAGTTGTAAAAGTTAGTTGTAGAAGTACAGTGTCAACATTTTGGAATCAGAAATTCAGAAGGGCAGAAAGTAAAGCCAATACTTCACATCTGCAGATTCAAACATCTGTGGATTGAAAAATTTTGAAAAAGATTGTGTTCATATTGGATGTGTACAGGTTTTTCTTGTCATCTTCCCCTAAACAACACAGTGTAGGGCTGGGGATTTAGCTCAGCAGTTCTGCCGCCTACTTCACAAGCGCAAGTTCCTGAGTTCGATCTCCGGTACCAAAAACCAAACAAACCACCCCCAAAAAACAAACAACACAATGTAACAACTGTTCCCATAGCATTTACATTGTGTTGGGAATTATAAGTCATCTAGAGATTTAAAGCACATGGCGGGCACACAGGTTCTGTGGAAGTACTGTGCCCCTGGACGGTGAGGCCATGAGCATTTGAGAATTTTTGCAGGGGCCTTGAACCAATTCCCCATGAACTCCAAGGATGGCTCCATAAAGAGGGAAGAGGTGGTGGTGGTAACTCCCTGTTCACACCCTGGCGTGTGCTCTGGGTGTTTCCCATGCTCATGCCCTTGCACGCGCATGAGTGCACACACACACACACACACACAGTCCAACACCTCATAATTGCACATGTTTGTATGTACATATAGTGTATGTTTCCGAAGCGGCAGCCCCCACTTCCCGAGTCGCCTCTGTCCGGTGAACCCCACGCGATGCCCAGGGCTCAGGCTGGCGGTGCTGCCTCATCTCCTCATCTACCCAGGGATTGATGTACTGTCATCGCCTCTTTCAGACAAATCTCACAGGAAGATAAAAATTGGGAGAACAATATCCAGGAGCTACAGAAAAAGGTATCTTGGTTTCTTTTCTCAGAGGTTTCTTATTCACTTCTTGTAGAAGAGTGATTGATTTTTCTTTAAACAATTTGTATTGTGCTGATGACTGTTCATCAGCACACACTAATTTTAGAAAGTCAGGAGATTCAGTGTGATGTCTGGACACATATATGCACGAGATGATCAAATCATAACACAGCCTTCTCCTTAAGCACTAACCGTTTCTTTGTGGACAAACATCAAAATCTCTCTGTCTCTGTCTCTCTCAGCCCTGGGTAAAGTTATGAATTCCCATTGTTTTTTTGATTTCTGTACCTAACTGAATTTCTATGAGTTTATGAGAAAAACATTCCCCATTCACGGTAGGCTTATTTGTCAGGAAATTGAAAGCCTACAGTTCTTATGTCCCTGAGACACCCTGGGCCAGGCTCTGACACTGCAAGGGAGGCTCACATCCTGCTGCTGAGAGGAGGCAGCTGCAGGGCAGGGAGCAGCTCCAGGATCAGACACAGGATGTGTCCTGTCAGGGACAGAGCTCTTTTTTTATTTTGAAGGTCTTGCTCATCTTTGTGCTGTGGCTGCAGACACAGAGGCCCCTCTCCTGTCTGAGAGAGCTCTGCTCAAAATATGCTGGGAGTCGTTTTACCTGAGTGCAATCTTAAATCCAGGTAGTTTCTTTTCTTATTTTTTTTTTTTTGCATACCGGCGATCAAACTCGGCTCCTTGCACTTGCAAGGCAGGTGGCAGAGCCATGGAGACAAATCCCCAGGTAGTTTCTTTTTATGAAGGGATTAAACAGTCACTTTCTATTTATGGCAGGAACATTTTGTCTTTTGCAGAAGGAAATATAGATATTAGGGTCCTGCTGAGCAGTACATCTTTTAAAGGGGGCTGGGGCTCAGGGGTTGTCTTCATACGCTCTCTCCCACGTGGACAGTCAGGGTCAGACGAGAAGGGGTAGCCCTGTCACTCTCCTGGCCCCCGAATTTATGCAGACACCACGGCCTTGGCAGGCCAGGATCAGAGGAGAGACCATGCACCTCCCCTCTGACCTGGAGGGAGGGCGAGGCGGTGGAGGGGAGGCGAGGGCGTGGTTGGCAGCCTTCCTTTATCGCACTTAAGAATTCTTGCCAAAGTAGCACCGAAGGACAGAGGAGACCCACACACAGTCACACACACACACACAGAGGCCTCTCCTTGGGCCAGCTGGGTGCTGGAGCCTCTTTCACCTGCCGCTCCTCCCCATCTGACCTTTGAACTGGCTGTGGTGATGGCGACGTTCTTCAGGCGGTGTCAGCTTTGGGGCAGCTTGGGATGCTGACCTGGTGTCAGCCAGCTTTGCTCTTCCAGCAGGGGCTCAGCCTCTTGCCTGCATGGCTCCTTCCTCGTCGTTTTCCATCAGAATTGTGTGGCCAAACTGGCCTTCCTTGGCGGGGAGAGGAAGCACCCTGGGCCGTGCGCTGGGTGGAGAGGAGGCAGGTGCTCAGTGGATGACCCCACAGCAGCAGGGCGGCCTGAGTCCAGGGACCAGGGCCGAAGCCCACGGCTGCAGTGCAGAGTGCGTGCCTGGGTTTCTAACAGCAGCAGCATCAGCTGTGTGACTGGAGAACCCAAGAGAGGAAACGTCTCTATTCTGTCTGTATCTCTGCACGTCTAAGTGTCTGTATGTCTACACGTGTCGGTCTATACCTGTATTTATGTATCTATAGCTGTGCAGTGTATCTATGTTTGTATCTGTGTGCCTTTGTGTCTGTGCCTCTGCAAGTCTACAACTATCTGTATCTAAATCTAAACATAGGTGTAGATATCCTTGTAGATCCCTAAATCTGTGTGTGCCTACAAATCTGTGGGTATCAGTAATCAGAGCACCTGCGATATCTGTGGGTTCTGCATCTGTGGATTCAACCAACCAGGACTGAAAATAGTCAGAAATATAATTGTCTGTGTCGAACATGAAAGACCATTTTTCTTGTCATTATTCCCTGTGAAATACAGTATCACAGCTGTCTGCTGTGTATTTACATTGTGTCAGGCTTCACAGGTGTGTAGAGGTGATTTAAAGCACTTGGCAGCGTTACATGGGTTTTGTGTGATACTGTGCTGTTATATGCGGACTGGAGCATCTGAGGACTCTGGGTCTCCGTCAGTCTCCCCTGGGAAACAAAGGCTGCTTATGTACCTATTAAAAACCAGACGAGTTAGACAGACTGATGGACCATTTTTAATCAAGAGCCTGGTGTCGCTGTCAGGTCCTACACGGAGCCTGGACACACCCAGGACTGACCGGTGGTGCAGGCTGATGGCACCACCTGCCAGTGCCCCCTCCGCGCTCGCCCTACCCCACACTGCACCTGTTGGGGGTCACAGGTGGAACACTCAGCTGGCCCAGGATCCACCTGGTGGAGGCTCCGCACCCAGGACTGACTGGGCAGATCCCCTCAACTGCTGTCCCCCAATCGCAGGGGCGACACCCACATTCCACGGTCTTTGCGAGCACGGCAAGGACAAACGCAGCCCGAGCCATGGCAGGAGGAACAGGAAAGCTGGGCCAAAGTTGACGACTGCACCCGTGCCTCTGGAGGTCACTGGCCACCTCCCTGAAGTCTGCTGACCTCTCACCTAACACTGTGAGGGGACAGGAAGAGCTGAATACTGACATGTTTTATTGAGAAACTTATAACTGAGTCACGCAGGGTGATCAGAACACTGTACTGAGCAAGTGGATTGTCTCTCTCTCAGCACAGGATCTCAGACAGGATCCTGCTCATCAAGTGCCTGAGCGTGCTGGGATGTGTCATCTTCACCTTCTTCCTCAGTTCGTTTGTCCCTGGCATTCATCTGGATCTCGGTGAGTCTGACCTTCTGGGGCTTCGCAGTTGATATCCCAGCCTGAACGGGAAGTGCCGGAGCGGGTTCCCAGGGCCAACTGTCCCTGCAAGTGCTGTGGGAGGACACAGGGAAGAGGGGAGGATGCAAGCCCGGCTGACGCTACACCCTGCTTCATTTGAAGGAGGGGCTGTGTCTGGCTCTCCCGATTCACTGCTGTGGGACTTTGGCCCCTCCAGTGTCAACACTTTTTTTTTTTTTGTACTGGGGATCGAACTTGGGTCCTTGCACTTGTGAGGCAGGCGGTGTCTCCACTGAGCTAGATCCCTGGCTCCATAATAATGTCAGGAAATGGTTTCAAGGACAGCAGGGAGCCACACCACCAAGGCCCGCGCTGCAGGGACCAAGGCCTGCGCTGCCTTCCCTGCAGTAGACTGGTGACGAAGTGATAGACTGTTGGCGGAAGGGCAGAGCTTGGCTTGAGCTCCTCTCCTCACGTGGCTGTGAACTCACTTTGCTTCTGCAGTAAAACCCTTTCCCGCTCCTCCTTCTGCTCCTCTTCCCTCACGTTCCCCAGGCTTCGGCTCCCAGCCCGCTGCGTTCTCCTCAGCCCTGAGCCCAGGTTGGGTCCCCATAAACACGTGGCCTTTTAGGTTGAGCTCTTCTCATGAACTCCCAGGACCTCCCACTTCCCATAACTGTGCTCACTCCTCAGGGACTTTCCTTGGTGGTTTCACAGTGAGCTCAGTGTGGTGTCATTCTTAAAGGCAAGCGAATCGAATCAAAACAGCAGCAACTCGCAAAACCCACTGCACGTGAAAGTGTAGGAAGATAAACTCCAGGCGGTGTCAGGGAGTCTTTTCAGATCAAAGCTTTACCCATGGTTTTCCTCCCAAAACGGGTTCTGCTAAGACATTTAAAATGTCCCAGTTTTATAAAAACATGATCATGGGGAGAATGTAACTGCAGCAGGAAGCAAAGGCTGTTAACCTTGTAAAATAGATGGAAAAGCAGCTTTGGTTATTTCCATCACATGTCTGCTTCGTGGGTTCCTGGTGCATTAGACATCTTCAGGTTATGAATGTTTCCCTCTTCTGCCTTATACAAGGAAGTCCACATTTCTCTGCCCTCCTGACGGCACTTTATGTAATTGTACACAGGCTCTTCCGATTTATTTCCCTACGTTAACTCAAATCCAACTCGCCAGGCATCCTGGCTTGGTTCTGGGCTGACAGGTGCTATTTATTTATCCACACCTGAGAGCTGATCCCTTGAGCATCTCAACAAAGTTCTGAAAAATGCCAAGGCTGGATCCTAACAGTGTTATGAGTTTTAGTTGTTTTTGGTGGGTTACCTCTAGAATTGGCCACAGTGTACTTATTTTCATCACACCCAGGCATAGTGTAATGTTGTTATAAACATCTTATCACTATAAGAAGTTAAATGGTCAACTGGCAGTTAAACAGATACAATGAAACTGTTGTTTTATGAGCAAAGGCAATTATTAGAGAATGATTCCAGATGCTCACAGATTTTTTCATTTAAGATTATACTTGGAAAGTACAGGCATTTGAAAAACTAAAAAAATATGAAAGCTCACTTGTAATTTTGCTAGCATTTGGCTTTGCATACAAAAAATACTTTTTAAAAATGTAAAGTCGTATCTTTATATAGACTTAAAACATCTTGGTTTCTGTGAAATATTTCATTGTAACCTGGAAGTCCACCCTCTTCACAAAGGTACCTCATCTCTTTGGAAGTTGTTGTTTATCTGTGATTGAGAGATTGTTTCCGTTCTGTATTTGAACCGAGTTTCATCTTTAGGCTGTGTGCAGTTTGTATACAGAGGGTTAACCCCGGGGTCCTGGGACCCATGTTTGCTTATTCATAGTGGGTACATGGAGTGGAGCAGGAGGAAAGCTTGACTAGCACGTGTTGTAACAGAATCCAATTCCTGAGAGTGGCAGTAGCTCGCCTGGTAGAAATAGGGGCGAAATAGATGCCGGGTCTTCCAAGGGGAGTGGTAGGGATGGGAGCGTTGGTCTGTGGTGAAGCTCGGTGTTGGACAGGACCTGCTTTGGGAATTGAGCACTGCACAAACAGCACAACGTGAGACGTAGCCAGATGACACGATGTGATGCTGTATAAACTACACACCGTGCACCCCAACACCAACATAAACTGGCCACGTGACGCATGCCTGTGATCTCAGCACTATGGGAGGCTGAGGCAGGAGGATTGCTGGTTTGAGTCTAGTCTGGACAACTTGGTGATTTAATGAGACCTCATCTCAAAATAAAATAATAAATATTTCACTTAAAAGGATGGCCTTGATGTACATCCACTTAGCTATAAATGTCTCTAGTTTCTCATCTTTATGGCTCCAACTGAAAACAATGTACTTTCAGAAGCCCTGACACACATCTAATGTGTAAAGCAAATATAAATGCACACTCAGTGGTGTTAGCCTGTTGACAACAATAATCCCCGAATGGCTCCGTCTGAATTTTAATGAAGTGTTCATCTTAGATAGATGTGATTATTTCAGAATGAAGGGAAGAATAATACACACACATCTTGGATTCTTAAGTGGATTAGATGAATTAGCTGTTTTCTTTATTATTCTTACAATGGGTGAATCACAACTTTCTCACCCTAACCCTGAGGAAGGAGAGGGAGAATGGAAGAGTGTCTCAGTCTTGAAGAAATGGAGATGTAGGATGCATGTGATAGAAAAGTCACTTGTTAAGGGGATTCAAGAAGTTCAAGTTAACCCAGCACAGTTTACACATTCACAGTTGTGCAAGCATCATCAGCATGCAGTCGAGAGCAGCCTCATCTGCCCCGACACCCCGTCCATCCTCATCTGTAATCACCAGCTCCTCCTTCCCCCTGACCCGCCCTGGAAAGCACAGACCCTCCTGTCTGTTTCTAGGGAATGGCTTTCTCTGGACTTCTCATTTCACACCTGGCCAAATGGAATCATCGGATGCAAGGGCTCCTGTGTTTTACTTTTTTCATTTAGCATAAAGCTCCAGGGTTACCCATGTTGTGTGCATTTGTGCTTCACTTTGCTCTCTGGCTTAATTGTGTTCTATTGTATGGACCATATTTTATATTCCATAAGTGTATATTGTTATATTTAGCATGTTATATGTAGAATGATTTATTCTTTTATTCACTGATGGACATTCTTCCCGTTTTTTATTGTGAATGCTTCACAGGTTGTTTTTGTAGTTTTTATTTTTATTTTTTATCAGTGCACGTTTGCGGTATGTGATTCTTACCTTCCTTGTGTGGGGTCGGTGCAGGGACCTGACCACCTCTTAATAACTTCCATTTCCTCTTCCCCTTCCCTTTCCCTCCCTTCGTCTCTTGGTCTCCTTCCCTTTTGCAAAAGATCTATCTTCCTATTTCCTATTATCTATCTTTTCCTTTACCATTTGTTTATATTTTGGGTTTCTCATGTAAGAGAAATGACGGCTATTTAAGCTTGTGTGTTTGATTTCACTCAACATTATGGTCCCAAGATACAACCATTTTTCTACAGGTGACTCAAGTGTATCCATCTCTACAGCAGACTGGTACTCCACTGTGTAAAATAGCATATTTTGTTTATCCATTCATCCGCTGATGGGCATATAGACTGTTTCCAAGGTTTCACTATTATGAATTGTGTGCTATAAACAGGGGTGTGCATGTATCACTATAATATGATGTCTTTAATTTTTCCAAGAAGATGCCTAAAGGGGGAATAACTGGGTCAAGTGGAATTTCTAATTTTAGATTTTTGAGGACCCTCCCTAGGAGGGTTTCCCATATGAGGGTTTCCTATGTTTCCCATAGGAGTTATACTTATTAATTTACATTCTTGCCAATAATGCAGGCTTCCTTTTTCCTCACAGCCCTGTTAGAATTTGTTATTATTTGATTTCTTGATTATAGCCATTCTTTCTGGAATAAGATGAAGTCTCAGGACTTAAAGCACCTTAGAAAATTTATATTTTGCTCTTGTGAGTTGAGAGTTCACTCATGTTATGTCTAATTGTCTTATAGTCTTGACCAGGTTTTTACATGCTTGTCCATCTTTTCTCTTGGCATTTATCCCCACTAATGAAAGTGGAATATTGAAATATCAAGCTGTTATTATGGAGTTGCTTATTTGGTTCTGTCAATTTATATTTCATGTAGCAGTAGTTCCTCTCAAAATGTCTTGTAGAATTCAGCAGTGAAGGCATCGGGACCCAGACTTTTCTTAGTTGGTAAGTTTTTAATTACATTTTCAATTTCATTGATTGACATTGAGTTGTTTAGAAATTTTAGGTCATCTTCATTCAACTTTGGTAATTCATACAAATCTAGGCATCTGTCCATTTCTTCTATATTTTCTATCTTATTGGCCTATAGGTTTTCAAAGTAGATATTGATGATCCTCTGGATTTCTGCTAGGCCCATTGTAATTTCTTTCCTAATTGCATGGATTTGGGCCTTTTTTCCTTTTTTTGATAAGGTTGGCTAAGGGTTTGTCAATTTTTTTTATTCTTTGAAAGACCGAACTCTTCCCTTCATTGATTTTTTTGTATTGTTCTCTTAGTCTCCATTGCATTAATTTCTGCCCTGATCTTTCTAATTTCCTCACTTGCATGAGCTTTGGGTTTGTCCTGCTCTTCTTTTTCTAGAAGCTTGAGGTTTGCATCAGATTGTGTAATTGAGCTCACTCTGTTTTCCTAATAAGAGTATTCACTGCTATGAATTTTCCTTGTAAGACTGCTTTCATTGTGTCCTATAGATTCCAATATGTTGTATTGTTATTGTCATTTAATTGTAGGACCTGTCTGATTTCTTCTTTAATTTCCTCTGTCACCCATATTCAGAAGCGTATTGTTCAATTTCCACCTGTTTATGAAATTCTTGCAGTTTCTTTGCTATTGATTTCCAATTCATTGCACTATGATCCGATAATATACAGGGGACAACTTCAATTCCTTTGCACTTACTTAGTCATGTTCTATGAGCAAGTAT